CGTCCGTGACCGGGCGCCCCGTCGGTCGGGGGAGCACCGCCCCCGCCCGCCTGCCTTTCTTCTCGCGTCTCCCGAGGCTCAGGCTGCGGGAGCATCTTGTGCACTTGAAACTTTGGGGTTAGGCACGATCCCTGCTGGGAACCCCGCTGGGGATCGGGCTGGGGCTGGAGGGGGTTGTTGGAAGTGCGTGTCTGCTCTGCGCTCCCTCCAAGTGCGGTTTAAGTAAGCACCGGAGGGCGGGCTCCGTGGTGCACGAAAAGCGTGCTGGTGGGCTTGAAAAACGAACCTGGCAATTGCCATTGCAGTTTGCCAAGTCTGTTTCCATGGACAGGGCGTCGGGGACGACCGCTGCACTGCAGTTATAACGCCTGATCGTCCATCTGTCTGGGGGAATTATTAAAAGACGGGCTTACTTACGTCAGCCGCGCAGGTGAAACGGGTTGGGGCTCAGGGTTGTCCCGAGAGGTGACCCCAGTGCTCAGTCCCAGGGTTAAAGGATTTGGGCGCTCACAGCGGGAGCGGAGAAGGTACAAGTGGCAATTGCGGAGAACTGGTGAGGCCAGATTCCCACGGCAGATCGATAATTCACTGGCATTTGACTTGCTCAGCATGGAGTTCACACTAGGGTCACTTCCCGCACAAACCCCCAGCTCAGCCCTCCGGCTAAGTATCCAGGACAAAAATTAGAGGCGTTACACTTTTCAGGGACTTGCCACGGGAGCCTTTTAAACACCCCAAGGGAACTTCCGTTTTGGCGTTTTTTGTTACTCAGTTCTTCTCTCTTTGTTTGGGGTAAGGTTTGGGTAGATGAGTCTGAGTAGCAGTTTTGCTGTGTTGACAAGTGTTCCTTGTGGAATGTGTTACTGACAGCATAAAAACATTTTAACCATTCATATTTGCGTGCCAGGGTATTTTGCAAAATAGCTTGTCAGGCTCTTAATTGCTGAATCTCTTTGATTTTTTATGTTACTGCAGTAATGCAGTATGAAAGAATGAATGGAAAGGAAATTTTAGATACGGCATGCACACATGAAGAGAATGATTTTTATAATTGATGTCCCCTAACCTCTTTTACTAAAATCAAACAGCTGAAAATGGAGTAAGATAGCCAGATGGTGTTGTGAGTTTCACTTACTGTTTGGAAGTGCTGAAGCCTGATGAGCATTACCTTGAGGACCTCTGTTTCCGTAGTGGTCAATATTTCTGTTTCCAGGCTAAATGGTTGACTTTAACGTTTGACAGCGATATTTTATTGTTACTTGACTTTGTAGATAATTTAGTGACCACTTTTCCTTTCAGTCGCAAACTTTCATCTACATAAGAAATGTAGCAAAACTTCGAAGGTTTCATTCAACATTAATAAAGCCCATTTGAAACTAAAATTGGCTTATTGATTAAATTCATTATAAATCAAATTATAGGAAATACAATAAAATAAGGAGAATTAAAAGTCACTTGATCTTATTTATAAAGTATATCTTGTTGAATTAGAGGGTTATTAAAAAGATAATCACCCTATGGGTCCTCTTTTGGGTTAGGTGCTTACTTTAAGTTAGAGTATGTGAGCATCTTTAAGTTCATAAATTTACCTCCTTGTTCATAGACTGGTTTAATTTTTGTTCTTTTTTTCCCCACTGTACTGGGATTTGAACTCATGGATTTGAGCTTGCTAAGTACTCTATCACTTGAACCTCCTGGAACTCAAAAATCCTGCCTCAGCCTCGATAGTGCTGGAATTATAGGCATGTATACCTTGCCTGACTAGTTTAATTTTATGGGAGATGATATAATTAATGAGTTGGTTATGGGCTTTGATGTCAGATTGATATAGGTTCAGATCTCATATTGCAGATGGGACATTTTGCAAGGAACCTAATCTTTCTAACCTTTTTTTAAAACCTGTCAAATAATATTAACTAATTAAATGAGATAATAGTACAGTGTCTGGTTTAATACATATTTATTGTTATTGTCCAAGTGCAAGAAATTCACACTCAGAAATAGTAGTTTGCAGTTTCTTTTACTTAAGATATCTTAGTTGGGTGAAAACAAACTAATTTATCTTTGCAAGAGTTTGGTACTAATCCTTGTTATCTTTCTTCTGGTTGAAGGGTTGTATGCCATGTGTTGCTGGTATTAACTTCTGTTGGGATGCATGCCAGTGTGTGTTGTTAATATTGTCATTATATGAAAGATTACCTTTCAGTGTCAGAAACCATAAAGCAGAGAGGTTTAAGATTTTCATTAATTCCTCTCTTTTCCTGAGGTACTGAGGTTTGAACTCAAGGACTTGTACTTTCTTTCTATCTGTTGAGCCACACACCCAGCCCTGGTTTTTCCTTTTAATAATTTACTTGGTTTGTGTTTGGTTTGCAGTACTTTTATAAGAATTTTTCTAATGAAAAAAGTGAGAAATAAAAATAAGGTAAAAACCTTAGAATTAAAATTGATAATAGCTATTAAGGCAAACAGTTTCTTGAATTATTAGTTTGTAAAAATTTGATTAGAATGTAATAGTCTGTTTCATTCTGTCAGCTTTTCATCACATTTAAGTTGTACCAAATATGTGAAAATACTAGGATATAGTTATATAACTAACCTCTTTTCTTTTTCTAGTAATACTCTAACTTGGCAGATTTAAAAAAATATTGTTAGTGGGCTGGGGATGTAGCTCAGTGGTACAGCACTTGCCTAGCATGTGCAAGGTCATGGATTCAATCCATAGCACTGCTAAAGAAATAAAGCTCTTACACACCACACACACACACACACACACACACACACACACACACACATTATTATAGTGGAAAATTGTCAACCATCTAAAAAAGCAATAGCTAGAATAGTATAATGGGGCTCTCTATTCCCTAGCTTCAGTAATTGTCAGCTCAAGGTCACTACTTTTCCTCTTCTCATTTTGAAATGAGGTACATCCTAGAATTATATCACTTCATCTGTAAATGTTTTAATACTTATCTCTAAAAATTAAGCTTCTCCTTAAACAATATATAACCACAACATTAGTTTTTTTAAAATAAGCTTCATTGAAATATATAGTATACATTTTTACTGAGAATATTTTCAATTAAAGAAACATACATAGTGATATAGTTAAATATTGTTTAAAGATTTGTGATAAGAACCTTACTTTAGAGGCTCATTATTGCAAGTCTATATTCCTTAGCCAGACTTTCAAAACCTATGTGTCTTCCCCATTGAAATGTATTTCCTTTGTTCTGCATAGATTTATCTCTTCAATGTATTCTGCACAATTGATGCTTGTTTTTGTGGCATCTTTACCTTTCATCAGGAATGTCTCTTTTTTTCTTTACCATTCTAAATCTTAAATGCTCTTCAGCACTACCTCTGCCCCATAAAACTTTTTTTTCAATTTATACTCATCCTTTTTTTCCCTATAGAACTGTTACTCTTATCATGAAACATAAGCTGTTTTATGGAACTTTCATGTATGATAAATTTGCCTTTGCAATAATAAAACAAACTTCTGAAATCAGAGACCATATATTTTCCTTGTTTATATCTTTTATAGTGTTTGACAAAGATGTGGATACATAATCTAACCTCAGTTATTGTTAACAAGTTGGACAACTGACATTAATTTTCTAAAATCTATCATTAGTGAGTCAAGTAGTTGGTTGGGTAGCAGTGTTCTTTAAATACCTTCTCAACTAAACTGCTAGCTTTTCTGAATAGAAGAGAGTTCGTTCACTTGTAGTTTCAAGTCTTTCATTACTTAGGTGGTGAGACAGTTGTAGTCTACTAAGTATGCTTTAGAAAACAATATGTATATTGAAAGCCTAATACAAATACAACCTTATTTTGAAGGAAGTAAGAGCTAGCTGTCATTTGCAGAGGAGGAAGGAGGAACTTATAAATAGGTAGTAGATTAGGCACATGGCTAAGTCAAAAGTGGGATTTAAAGCAGGCTCACGTTCTTCACCATCATTTACGAAGCCTCATTTTAAAAAACAATAAAAACAAAACAAAAAAAACCTTCTTTTGTGCCCTGATATGACAGAATAGAGACTTCGGGATATATCTATTTATTTCTATTAACCTTTTATTTTTATACAAAAAGCTAAGAAGTGTATTTCCTTTGTAGGGTATATATATGCAGTATAGCATAATACTAAAGAGTACAAACTACGAAGTCAGATCATCTAGTCTCATGATTTAACTTCTTCAAGTCCTACTTTGTTAGCTTTGGGAAGACACTTCTCTAGACCTCAGTTACCTCTTCACAAAGGGAATCATAGTAATAGCACCTACTTGATGGAGATCTTACATAAGGATTAGTTGAGATTATCCATATAATTCCCATTGTGCCTGGCACATAGTAGCTGTCAGATGAGTGCGCACATAAAGATCCAGGGGGTTTTATTTTCATACTTTTTATATTATACTTTTTCTCTTAGAGAAACTTCTTTGTAGTGGAAATCTAAGCATTCCTGACTATACTAAGTGTCCCTTATCTTTCACCTCTCTCTTTGTTCTTTGGTTTGAGATGTTGTTTGTTTTTCATGTTTCAATAAGAGTGAGCAGATAAGATGCCCCTCAACAGTTTTTTTTCTTTTTTTTTTAATTAGGGATTGAACTCAGGCCCTCATATTTGCTAGACAGATCCTCTAACATTTGAGTCATTCCACTAAACCTTTTTACATTGGTTATTTTGGGGAGAGGGTCTTGCTTTGTGTCTGGACCAGCCTGGACCACAATCTTCCTATTTGTGCTTCCCCATGTAGCTAGAATGACAGACATGCACCACTGTGCCCAATCATTGGTTAAGATGGAGTTCTTGCAAACTTTTGTGCTTGGACTGGTGTTAAGCTGCTATCCCTATCTCCATTCCCCCACGCCCCAAGTAGCTAGGATTGCAGACTTGAGCCACCATGCCTGGCTCAACATTTTTATATTGGTGAAATATGGTTAAAATGAACATCAAGAGATGGCAGTTTTGAAAGAGAAAAGAAAAGGCAAGGATGTTACAAATGGTTATGTCTGAGAGGATTGTCCCTGAGGTAAGATGTTGCTACACTGCTAGCCCAGCCCTGTTCTTGTTTGCTCAGATATGGTACAGTTTCTTTGCTGCTTATATGATTTGAGTGAATTGAGTGCATAGTTCTTTTTTAGTAGCCACTGGCAAACCATTTCCCTTACCCTTTTTGGCAGCAATGTATTCTCCCACAGAAAAATAAGAGTTGGGAGTGATTGCCCCAGATTGCCATATCTCAGGTGACAACTCTGTTTGCAAGAATCTTTGTTTTACATAACGATCTTGGTACATACTTATTCTGAAAAATAGGTTTTTTAATTGTAATGTTTTTCTTTCCCTCCTGGTGGTTGAGAAGTGTTCTTCATAAAGGTCAAGTTATGAGTATTGTATCTAAATATTTTTAAATTTGGAGCTAGCAGCATTGCAGAAGTGCTATAGAATAGATTGCTACTTTAAATGATAAATGTATTTTTAATAATTTCACTTTAATTTTAAAAATCCCCAGTAATGTTTTGTTTAATTTGGCAGTCAGCTTTTGAACTTTAGAAAAAGCTAGTTTGGTCATCAATCATATATGTAGATCACAAAGAATAGAATTAAAACAGCTTTTAGAATGTGTAGGATATTTATCCTAATAAGGTGATTATTTTAAATTTTTGTTATCTTTAGTTTTATATAAGAATGAAAATATTACTTTGATTTCTTAGAGTTCAGTGTAATTGAGTTCTAGAATAATTTATTACTGTAGTTTGGTGATTTGTCAACCTAAATAAAATCAGTGAAGTAAATTACAAATAAATCTTAAAAATTTAAATTGCTAAACCCAAATGCAAACTTACTTAGAATGCTCTTCTTTAAAAAGGCGTATTGTTAATTTATATTGAATGTGAAATACTGAGAATAATTACTATTGTAATGATATCTTATTACTATGCACATATGAGAGAAGGTTAAACTAAACTATCCCTTCTTCTCTGTGTTTAAGATAAACGTGAATTCTCTTACCATGGAGGGATCAAATGTACATCACTCCCCTTTGTCTTCTGTGGAATTGAGAGTGTCTTTATAATGTGAGCTAGTGTGCTTTTGTTCAAGCTAATTTCCTGTTTTCTTTTCTGAATATTGTTAGCAATCGTGTTAAAACTGAGGAAGTACTCAGGGCAGCATTTTTGTTTTTTTTTAAAGAGATGGAGATAATGATGATAACTTCTGGGGAGAAGGTGCAAAATGTATTTCTTATTTAGTTTCTTTCTTCTAAGGCCAAGTGTGTTTGTATTTATGTCCAGTTTGGGTATAGGACCATCCCATTTTTATTTTTAATGACCTGAACCTCACTCAGTGAAAAACTTTCTGCTAATATGCAAAATCTTACAGATGTTTTGGGGAAACCTTCTGTATGGGCTGCTAGTGAGTCTGTGAACAAGCATAAACTATGATTTGTTGAGAATATATGAAAATAAAACACAAATCTGAATGAAATGTTACTTTCTACTTTCTATTCTGTCAAGGCTTCCAGTCTTATTTTTTTAATTTGTTTTTTGCCAAGACTCTAGTGGGAAAGTTAGGGCTGCAGAAGTAATAGGTAGATATAAATAGTACCTCTAGAAAAAGAAACCTGTTTATTCTAGCTTAATCATGTTTTCACATACATGAATTGATAAGCTTTTAACATATTCCTTTACATATTCATTATAAAAAAATCAGAAAACATGTATCCAAAAATAAAATGTGACCCATATTTCTTCTTTCTATAGGTCATTTTTATTGTTGGGTGTATCATATTTTTTCCTACTCATACATATATTATGCATAATTTTTTTGGACAAGAATGGGCTCATATTTATATATATATATTCTTTGGTAACTTTACTCATTAAATAGCATAGTTTCAATAACCTACTAAACAGTTTTAAGAAATCCTTAATTATCTTTACTAACATTATATAAAACCTATCAAGATAGAAGATTCTAATTATTATTTTTCATTATGACAACTAAAAATCATACTGAAGGTTTTTTATCAAGTTTGAGAAATTATTTTAATATTATAATTGAGAGTTGAGCCCAATGCTGGTGACTCACTCTTGTAATTCTAGCTACTCAGGAAGCAGAGATCAGGAGGATCGAGGTTCAAAGCTAGCCCAGGCAAATAGTTCACAAGACCCTATTGAAAAAATCCTTAACAGAAAAGGGCCAGTGGAGTGACTCAAGGTGTAGGCCCTGAGTTCAAGCCCCAGTACCGCAAACAAACAAAAAAAGTTGAGAGTCAATTAAAAATTACAAATGATCTTAAAATATCTGGCTTATTATGCATTTTATAAATAATATGTAATCTTAAACTGGCTGAGGCTACTATGGGAAGAGGACTAGGGAATAGCTAAGAGGACTGGTAGAGATGAACCATTTGGGGTTGTAATACATATATGCATGCAAACAACATGAGGAATCTCACTGTATACCTATCTTTAACTCAAACTAGCACAAATACCATGTTTCTCTTATTATCTTTTATGTTTTTTCTTCTGCAAAAGCAGAGAACAAGTTCTTGGTGGGGGGGGGAGGGTTGATACAGGTGGGAGAGGGGGGAGGTAGTGGGGAAAGGGGTAAGAAGATGAATATGGTGCACATAATGTATATGCATGTATGTAAATGCAAAAATGATACCTGTTGAAACTGTTCCAGGAATCAGGGGAGGGGGGATGAAAAAGAGCAGTGGAGGTGGTGAATTCAAGTATAATATATTTGATACATTGTAAGAACCTTTGTAAATGCTACAATGTACCTCCACCTAGCACAACAATAATAAAAATAAATAAAACCTACACTAAAAAAAATGTAACTCTTCATGCTTTTCATCACTTTTTAAAATAGAAAGGTACCTCTTTATTTTTCCCCCAACTCCTGTCATATGTTATTACTATACTTTTATAATATGTATGTGTTCTTCCTGGGGGAGATTATGAGTAGCAATTAGACAAAGCAAACTAATTGCAAGTTGTCTGATGTTTTAGTTGCATTTAAGAATATTTTCCATTAAATTTACTATAGTAACTGTTTTCACCTGCAGAGCTCAGCAGTGTTAAATGTATTTAATTATTGTGCAACAGATTTTTAGAATTACTTCACTTTGTAAAATTGAAATTATGCCTTCTAAGCACAAATTCTTCCATCCTTTCCCCCCCAGTTCTTGCTAACCACCTTTCTAATTTCTGTTTCTATGATTTTTTTACTATTTGAGATACTTCATCTGCATGGGATCATATGGAATTTGTCCTTTGTGACTGGCTTATTTTGCTTAACATAATATTCCTAAGGTTCATCCTTGTTATAGCACATGACCGGGTTTCCTTTTTAAGGCTGCATTGTAACCATTTATCTGTATACCTCATTTGCTTTATCCATTTGTCCATTGGTGGATGTTTGAGTTGTTCTCACCTCTTGGCTGTTGTGAATAACATTGTGATGAACATAGATGTGCAGGTATCTCTTTGAGATCCTGTTTGAGTTCTTTGGGATATATACCCCCAAAGGATTGCTGGGTCATGTTAACTCTTGGAGGAACCTCTATACAGTTTTCTATAATGGCTGCAATTATTTGATAGTCCCATCAACAGGGTGCACATCCTCAGCTATACTTGTTATTTTCTGATGGCTGTCTCGATATGTATAAAGTGATATCTTTTTGTGGTTTTGATTTGCATTTCTCTTACCATTTAATGATGTTGAGGCTCTCTTCATTTGCTTTTTGGCCATTTGTATATCTTATGTGGAGAATTGTCTATTCAAGTCCTTTGTCAGTTTCTTAATTTGATTATTCTGTTGTTGATTTATAGAAGTTTCATATACATCCTGGGTATTAAACCCCCTGTGACTTACAGATAATTTCTCATTCCATAGAAAGGACGTCTGGGGTTTCCTCTTCTGCCTGTTCTAATTGCTACTGAATTGTGTTTGCTAATATTTTCTTGAGGATTTTGCATCAATATTCATAGGTTTGTAGTTTTATTTTATTTTTGTGTGGTGTTGGTATCAGAAATGTTGGCCTTAGAATGATTCTGGAAGTGTTTTCTGATCTTTATTTTTTGGGAAGAAATTAAGGAGAATTGTTGCTAATTTTTTAAATGCTCTGTGTAGTTTTCCAGTGATTCCAGCTGGTTCTGGGTTTTTCCTTGTTGAGAGGTTTGGATTACTGCTTCAATCTCTTCACTTGTAGGTTTGTTTAGATTTTTAAAAATTTCTTCATGATTAAGTCTTGGTAGATTTATTTTTCTAGGAATTTATTCTTTGTTTTAAAATTTTGTTTCATTTATTGCAGTATTGAAGTTTGAACTCAGGGTCTTGTACTTGTTAGGCAAGCACTCTATCAGTTGAGTTACACCCCTAGCCCTTTTTCTTTATGTATATTTTTTTCAAATAGGGTCTTCTGGTTTTGCCTGAGGCCAGTTTTGGACCACAATCCTTCTACATATGCCTTCCACATAACTGAGATTACAGATGTGTACTATAATGCTGAACTTCTTTGTTGAGATGGGGGTCTTGCTAACTCTTTGCTTGGGCTGGTCTTGAACCAAGATCCTTCCGATCTCCAGCTCCTGAGAAGTTGGGTTTACAGGACTGAGACACTGCACCTGGCTGTTATTTGTTTCTTCTAGGTTATTCCATCTGTTGGCATATTATTGTTGATGTAAGTCTCTTATATTTCTGAGACATCAATTATGATGTCCCCTATTTTGTTTCAATATTAGTTGAATCTTAACTCTTGCTTTTTTTGACTTTTGAAAAGTTTTCTATTCTCCATTTCATTTATCTCTGCTATAATCTTTATTGTTTTCTTAATTCTGCTAATTTTGTGTTTGGTTCTTTTTCTATTTCCTTGAGGTGTAAAGTTAAATTGGTGGTTTGAGATCTTCATTTCTTAATTTTAAGTGCAATACTGCTTTAAACTGCATCCTCTAAGTTTTAGTGTGTTATGCTTTTGTTTTTATTTATTTCCATGTATTTTCTAAGTTCCCTTTTGATTTCTTC